GATTGTATTTTATGGCGATCGAAAAGTTGTCTGCCGGTAATTTGGCACCTATTATATTAGATATTAGATGCGCCTTGTTGAAAACACGGCTGCACCTCGACAGCACTGAGAGCTAACAACGAGCGCTTTTGTTCCTAATGATTATGAGCTGCTTAAAAAACCTAAGCTGTTGCAAGTGGAACTTACCAATCGCATATCTTTTTGATTCGAATCCGCAGCATCGCACCGTAGAAGAAAATGATGAAAACATCTTTTGGTGGCGCATTTTTCTATAATTTTTTAAACTTTTTCTAAATATTGGCTTTAACAAAAAAAATGTGAAAAATGTGCACAAGAAATCATTTTCTGTCCGTTTAATAGTCGCAGCTTCTCTCGAGAGTTTACTTTCAAGTCACGAACTTTCAGAAGGAAAAGAAGCGACGAGAGCTAAACGAGCAAAAAGTGATTAGGCGACAACTCCTTGACATTAGCAACTTCCGTCAGTGCTTAACAAGTTAAGCAACTTTTCCAGCCCAAGTGAGCGTAAATAAAGAGAGCAAACGGCTACTTCCAGCTGCAGCCAGCACGAAAGTAATTCAGAAGGTGATGTTGCAGTTCGTTTTCATTTCATGCGCAACAGCGTTGTGCACCACAATAAACAGAAATGAAGCAATCGTGAGCATGTACTTAAAAGTTCGCATTTGTTTTTGTTTAGTTAAAGACAATGCTTCTGCTCTCTAGCTCGGTTTACAGCGGTGCATCGTCAACCGAAGGGCAGGGAGCTGCTAGAAATCTCCGATGGTTCAAAAGTTCCCCTCTCGAAACAATCTGGACATATATCTGCAAGTTTAGGTTAGTACTGAGGAATAAGCACATGAGCCATCCCTTCTAGGTAATCGAGAGAACTTCATGCAATGTCTTCAACAAGGGTTTTGTCCAGCGAGAGACCGTGCACATCGTGAACAGAAAGGATGGAAAAACTATTTTGCTTGGTGCTGGACTAAGACAAAGAAATGTTGGCGAAATAGCGCTTCTCATCAGCAGGAAGAGGACTTCATAAACCAACTCTTCTCATTTTCACTTGTCACAAATCGGCGTACTCGGCAAACTAAATTCCGATAAAACCCATAATGTTACCCTAATTACACTGTTTCACCATGGCCAGAAATGATAGCGAGATTGAACGGATCGGTGCAGATTTCGAATTGACACCTGTTTTAACGAACATAGTTACTGTGGATGATTTCAACGAAGGTGAAGGTGAAAGGGAGCGGAAATGGGACTGATTTGTGCGATACTGACAATAGGAACGGCAGCGACGTCAGATTACCTAGGACTGTGACACACCAGGCTTGCAGGTGCGATCATACGTTTCCACGCGAAACT